CTCTCTCTTTCTTTATCTTTCTTTTCCAGAGCGCGTTCGGTTTCTACTGTGTGTCCAAAGTGGGTTTGGTGACTCACTCCTCTGATGACAGACCCTCAGAGCATTAGAGGAGCCTTTATTTTGGGAACCTCCACAGAGTAGAGCCGCTGTAGGCGAGCATGTATTTTATATTTTCTGGGAGGAATTTTATATTATTTGACATGGATCACAGCATGGATCCATTTTCACCGTTATAACGCTCATCTTGTGTCACCGAGGCACAAATGAGACACTCAAGAGGTGCCATTTGCATATTTGTGTGGCTTCAATTAGGGATGGAGTGAATTCTGCACACATGCCGGCTATACTGAGTGCACGGCCCATTTGTTCGTCTGTGCTAACCATAAATTTTTTAAACAGGCTTACTTAAGGCCTCTTTCTCCTCAAGGCACACACGCCCACAAACGCACAGGCTTTTCACAGCGTGTTCCTTTAGGTGGTGTGTGTATGAATATGTGACATGGATTGAATTCGATGTGGACTTCACTTTAATCAACATGGGCAAGGAGCTCGCCGCTGCTCTTATAAGATAATAGGAAGAGATGATCTCATCTCTTTCATCTTTAATTCGTCAGCATCTATCGCTCTCCACTTTTATGTTACTAATTTGGTTCATGTTTGCTGTTGTTTTTAAGACATCTTATCATGCATCAATGATATCTATCTATCTGTTTTCACCATTGATAATGATTATAAATATTTGAACTGTAATGTATATTTCTTTCATGCCTCTTTTTTATAGAAAGACAGACATAAGAAAAATACAGCTGAAACATTCTGAGTTAATGTGAGATATTCTAAATTTAGTCTGAAGTTGTTTGTCAAAAGCCAACATGAACTAAGACAGAAATTATCTACAAAAATTTAAACAGATTCTGTAAGCAGTTCAATTTGAATGAATTGCCGAATCTTAATTATTAGAGTTATAACAAGATGTATAACCAGAATATGGGAGGAATATGAAATTATTACTACCTTGCAAGTGCTATGATAAGACAGATTGTATCCTCGTCTGTGGAAGACAGGACACAGTGGAAAAACTGCATTTCATTCTGTAAATGTCACAGGATGGCTATGATTAGTTTCTTATTATAATATTCCAGGAGAGCTCAGTAAAGCTCAAGAATCTTATGATGAATAAAATATAGCTATTAATTTCTTCCCATGCCTTGTTTTTGCATTGCAAATCTTGTCATCTTATTTTTTTCCTGCTTCCTGAGACAGATATTAAGTGGATTTTCCAAGGCACTACCCTCTGTACAAACTTTAATTCAGGGGTCTCTCACAACGGAAGTTTTACCCACAGCCTAAAAAAGATTTCTGTCGTGATTAAAGGAATAGTTCATCCAGTAATGAAACTTCTGTCGTTATTTGTGACCCTGGACCACAAAACCAGTCTTAAGTCACTTGGGTATATTTGTAGCAATAGCCAAAAATACATTGTATTGGTCAAAATTATAGATTTTTCTTTTATGCCAAAAATCATTAAGATATTAAGTAAAGATCCATGAAGATATTTTGTAAATTTCCTACCGTAAATGTATTAAAACTTAATTTTTGATTAGAAAGATGCATGGCTAAGAACTTCATTTGGACAACTTTAAAGGCGATTTTCTTTTTTTGAAATCCTCAGATTCCAGATTTTCAAATAGTTGTATCTCTGCCAAATATTGTCCTACCCTAACAAACCATACATCAATGGTAAGCTTATTTATTTAGCTTTCATATGATGCATAAATCTGAATTTAAAAAAATTGACCCTTATGACTGGTTTTGTGGTCCAGGGTCACATTTATTCTCCCTCATGTTTTTTTAAACCTATGGGTTACTTTCCTCTATGGATTTGGATCAACATGAGGATTAGTAGCAAATGATAGGATTTTCACTTTTTGGTGAACGATAACATTAACGACGCAATCCCTACACACGGTTGTCTTATTTCCAATAACGTAAATTGTTTCTTATGTTTATAAGCTGTCGTCATTTGTAATCAGCATCTTCTGTTGGATTTATAGGAAATGGAGGAACAGTTCAAGAAGGAACGTAGCTCTCTAGAGGAACAGAAGAGCCTTTTACGAGAGGAACTGGACAGTCTGCGAGAGGAGCTCGCAGCCAAACTCAACATGGCCAACAGTGAGGTACAACCTTTTTTTTTTTTTGTCTCTGTGAAAGTGATTTAGCAGGTAGAAAGGAAGGCACGGAAGCGAAGGGAAGAGTGATTAATTTCAGTGGCATGTGTTTGTCATCTCATTAGTCTCAATGTGTTTTAATGGGCTTCTGGAACACAAATCTGGCCGAGTCCCATGTACCTTAGCCACAGTTGCAAATGGGCCAAGGAGACCCCTGAAGAGAAGCAGCATCACTGATTATTACCCAATCATTCAATTTAGCAAGGCTTCATTCACTTGCTTGAATAATGTCATGCTTAATGTGCACATCAAAATTTGCTTAGCATAAATGGAAATGAAGCTCTGAAATTGCTGGAAAATCCATCTTAAGATGGTATCTGTTTTGAAATATGGTAGCTGTGGTTTTAGCTAGTCTAAACTGGTCATTGGCTGATTGATCATCATGCATGTTCCAAAAACCAGTCCAGCTGGTAACTGGTTTGTTGCTGGTCAAAGATGATGACCAACTTGGACCATCTAGAAACCAACTATATACCTAGGGTAAATATTTAGCCATGCTCCTCACTTAAAGGCTGTTCCACAATAGCTGAGTCTCTCTATTTGCAGCATTTTATGAACATTCTTTATTGGAATGAACTTTGAGCGTTTGAGAGACTGAATCATGAAATCTCTGTCACATAAGAGGTTATATTTAGGTTAGGATGCTGCCTTTTGAAGATATCCTGCTGATTTGCTGGTTTCCTAGCTGGCCTAGGCTGGTCTTTGGCTGTTTTAGCTTGGCAATCAGCTAAAATGTATCCAAAACCCCTCTAAAACCAGCCAACAGGCCCACTAAGACCTGAAAAATACTTGGTTTAAGGTTTTTTTTCAGTTGAGTAGCTGCTTACATAGCTCACTAGGGTATGAAATGTACTGTTGTTATTTTTATTTATTTTTTTATTTATTTGCAATTTTGTTTTATTGGGTTAATAATTAGCACAAGGTACCATTTAAAAAAATATATTATTATAATAATTATATAATATAAAGAATTTAAGAATTGTAATCTAAATATTTGTTATATGTTTTTAAATAAATAATACTAAAATAATTTTTATTTATGTTATGTAATTATTTTATTTTATATTTTATTTATCATTGTAAGAGTGCTATAGAGATTGAGTAGATTTATTATTGTTAGTAATTAATTATATAAATATATTAATTATATAAGTAATTTAATACTTGTGTTCTTGTTACTTGTAGTTTTAATTACAATACTGAACATATTTAGTTTAGTTTTGTTTTGTAATAAAGTTGAGTGCCTCATTCTTACAGTGTCCTTTAACTCAACACTGAGAACAAGCATCTGCTCAAAAGCGAGTAACTTCTCCTGTTCCTCAGGTGAATCGACTCCAGGAGCTGATGAAGCAGGGAGAGCAGGGACTAAGTTCTGCCGAGGGACACATCTCCAATCTGAAGGATGCCCAGAAGAAGCTTCTAGAAGAGCTGGACGCCACGCGAGCAAGACTCAGAGAGACTAGCAACCTCTTAACAGCCCTTCAGGTCTATTACCAAAAGCAATTACTTCAAAAAATAATGAGAATGAGACTTCATACTTCAAAGTCACATAACTCAGCTGCTCCTGCCAGACATTTTTATCATTAAAGTTGATGTGGGGGATTTTTTTTTTTATATATACTGCATTTTCCCTCAGTTTCCCTGAATAGCTTCTAAAAACACCTGCAATGAGCTTATCATTATGAAACGAGTTATAGGTGCTCTGTTGAATTACACCCACCTGCAGTTTTGGCCCCTTTGTGACAGACACTTCATTAGAGAGGCCTCTTCCTGTGTCCTTGACCTGAAGCACAGTTTCTCCGAGTGACCATGCATAATGAATCAGACCTGTGTGTGCGTGAGGGAAGAAATGAGTGAGTGGAGAAATGAAAATGGATTTCCATCTCATGGCCCCTGTTTGATTGATAGCTGTGAAGAAGAGCCCTCCCTCTCATCCTGAGTACCGCGTGTTAGACCTCACAATCACGGGTCATGTGCTTAATGGCTCATCAGAGCTAATGTTCGCTCTCGTTCTTGTCCTCAGGGAGAGATGGAGTCTCAGAAACAACAACATGATGCCAAACTCATTGCTACCAAAGAGGAAGAGAAGCTCAAAATGGATAAGATGGCCCTGGAGCTCGAGCTGAAGTGGACCGAGGCGCTCAGGTAAGAGCACATGCTTTTGGGTTACACACGAGGGAAGTTCTTGGAAATGTGCTTTCAGAGATATTTACTCACCCCCATGTTATGTAAAGGGTCATCATTGAAATATGGTGACCAACCTGTCCCTTGAATTTTCAGTTATGAAAAAAATAGTCAAGAAACTCCATATAAATGGTATTTTTCTCCAACATATTAGTTTACTAAATAATATCCATCCATCTGTGTCTCGGGGATGATGTAGCCTATGAATGGATGGCCAGATTAAATCCCAGATTAAAATGATTCAACTTTTAAATTATTAAAAACCCATTGGCTCCAGCTGGTATTTTTTTTTTTGTTGTTGTTATTTATTTGTTTGCTTGTCTAAGTTTTAAGCATTTTTAATTATTGTATTCTAAATAATCATATAATGTAACATAAAATTAATAATAATAATAATAATGCCAATCACACATTAAATGTTTTTTTTTATTAAAAGCTGCCTTTGCCTTTGTTTTCTTAATAATTTATATATTTTTAATGATTGTGTTTTAAGCATCAATGTGAGGTCCAACAATTGTGCAAAAAATGAAATAATTGTTTTCTAAATAATTTTTACAAGTTATCATTTAAATTTTTTTCCCCTTTCTTTTATTATTTATTTGTTTGTTTATTATTTATTATAGGTTTATTTTATGGGTTAAGTATTAGTGAAAACTACAACACTTGTACAGAAAGCAAATACAAATGTTACTTGAATATTTGAATGTTACTAGAATAATATATTACTAGAATAATAAAATAAATTTATTTAATTTTCCAATTATTTGCCAGTGATGTTGTCAATGTTAAAACTTGTATACAAAAAGTTGTGGGAAAGTATTTCAGAGTAAGAAGAGAAATCAACACTCTTAAAGAATATTTTGGCCATACTTTTCCATGACATGAGGGAGAGTAAACAATGTCAGTTTTTTTTTTTTTGGTGGTGGTGAACAATCCATTTAAGTGGTTTGTCAACAAGCAAGGCACTTCTCGTTCTTTCATGTTCTCTCTTTCTTTGCCAAGCTATGTGATGACTTATATACCCTATAAAGTTTCCAACAGCTGTAAGTGTTTTGGCATTGCCTCAGAAAGCCCTGCCTGCTTAATTCATTAGCAATGCTTACAACCAGTGTTTAATATCATGGGCCTTCATATAAGACAAATAGGTCATTAGTACAAGCCTGAGCTGTATTTAACTAAAACAAAGGCCATTAATGGGATAGTTGAACAAAAAAATGAAAAGTCTGTCACCTGTTACTCACCCTTAAGTTGTTCCAAACCTGAATTTCTCTCTTCTGCTAAACACAGAAGTTATTTTGAAGAATGTGGGTAAGCAAACAGTTTCTGGTCCCTAGTATTTTTTTCTTTATGGGAATCAATGGCTACCAGCAACTGATTGGATACCCCGATTCTTCAAAATCAATTCTTTTATGTTGAGCAGAAGAAAGAAATGCATACAGGCTTGGAACAACTTGAGGGTGAGTACATTTTTTTTTCTTTTTTCTTTTTTTAGGGTGAACTATCACTTTAAGGACATTTTGGCTACTTTGTTTGCCCATAGTTTTGCAAAGTTACCAATTCGCCACTAAAACATCCCCAGAAAATGATAAAAATGAGCTAACTCGGAAGGTTGAAGTTGAATAGACCCTAAGCAGACACTCAACATGCTTTAATGAGAAATCAACAAGTCATTTATTGGATTTCATCCTTGGTAGCTCATTTTCCACAACATTTGTTCAGGATGGTGCAGCGGTGCCCTGGAGCGTAATATTTGGGCTTTAACTTGTTATTTGGGAGAATGTGGACCAATGTAGAGCTCGTTATTGCTCAAAATAAGTGCTTGTAATGATTTTGGATCTAGGTCGAGAGACTCGAATTTCCGAAATTGGATGCACCGAAATGAAAATTCTTAGCCAAAGCCGAACAAAATGAAACACTGGGCCGAATACCGAACACGTTTTTTTCAATTTTTTTCCCCCCATTTTGTCAATTTTTTCCACCATTGCATAAATTAAATAGCCAAAATGTGCTTTAAAAATATTTACTTAACACTGAAAATTTTTTAACATTCTAGCAGACATTATACCAATAAAACACAATTTAACTTAAAATTAATACGTTTGTAAAATAATATTTTTTGGCCATTTTTGAGACCCCCTTCTTGAATCAGGCATGTATTTTTTTTTACTGTACAAATAAATGCAGCCTTGCTGAGAAGAAGAGACTTCTTTTAAAACATTAGAAAATATTACAGATCCCAGTCTGAACACTGAATGCTATAATAAATGTAATAATAGAGCTGTTGTAATTATTATCCCTATTATTGTTTTTTTATTTTATTTTACAGAACAACATTAAAATTACAATAATAACATTTATTAATGTTGATGGAGTTCTTGCTTTTATTTTGGCAGAAACCCGCAGACATCAGTGCTTCTTTTTGCTGACAACAGTAGATTTATAAATGATTCTCATTACGAATTTGGGAAGACGTTTGTTGCACGTGACGCGTTGTCACATGCTTTCATAAAATTCAATTCATAAAAATGTTACTAAGCAACTTACAAATAACACTATTTCAGCTCAGATTTTCCTCGTGCTTTGGACTTTGAACCCTGGCACCGCGAGCTCATGCAGCACTGTCAGAATACATGCAATTCGTTCGTGTATTAGAAAACACAACGTTCTGCAGTTTATTTAATTGTTTAAAGGGGTCCTATTATGCTCTTTTACAAAGTCTTGATTTTGTTTTGGGGGTGTACTAGAACATGCTCTCATGCTTGGTGGTTCGAAAAAATTCATTATTTTTCATATAATTTACATCATTACAATACCTTTCTCCCCAGGCTGGCACAAACGGCCCAATTAGTTCCGGCTTTGATGAAGGTCCGCCTTCCGAAAAACTAAATGTGATGTGATTGGTTAGCTGTCCCAGTGCGTTGTGATTGGCGAACAGCTTAGACGGTGTTTCAGTACTGCCACGCCCCCTTGCTCCGTCTTTAAACAAAAGCTTTTGGGAATCCGGCACTTCTCACTCGTGATGTGGAAGCTGTCCTCAGTAAAATGCACAGCACACAATAGCAAATTGGGGTTATAATGCTCAGGAACAGAGTTAAAAAGTAAATTGCAACCACTGTTTCCTGACATCATCTGCTTTCGGAAGTGAAAAAAAAACAGCGTTTCAGGCGGGCGCGCACTGGACGAGAAGCGCAGCGTTGCGCCACATCTTAAAAATTCGAACACATTATTTTCTATGAGGGCAGGCACAAATGCATTTCCTGCACTGAAGTAGTGCAGACAAAAATGTGATTTAAAATACATTTTCAAATATATGCATTTTCCCATTTAAATTCCTATGAATGTCATTTATATTTACATTGTTCATCCTGACTGCTATATTTCATCTATAACTATTTTATACTGAATTTCATTAAATATTTTTCACTATATTATGTTATGTTATATGTTATGTTATGTTTCTCACACTAGAGGACCGTTTACAATTATGAAGGTAAAAATGTGATGAAAATTTTGTTAAATTTAAAAGTATTATTTTTGCAGTTATATAAATTTGTAATTTATATTTACATTGTTAATGTTCCTCTCTCTCTCTCTCTCTCTCTCTCTCTCTCTCTCTCTCTCTCTCTCTATATATATATCCAAGAGCCCTCTCGCTGTAAAAA